CCTCATCATCATCCTCATCATCATCCTCACCCTCATCATCATCCTCATCATCTACTTCGACAACTTCCTGATCTTCACCCTGATCATCATCCTCATCATCATCCTCATCATCATCCTCATCCGCAACCTCATCATCATTTTCATCATCAGCCTCATCATGATTCTGAACATCACCCTCATCATCATCTTCTTCTTCATGCTGATCGTCATCCTCATCATCATCCTCATCACAATCCTCAACGTCATCCTCATCATCATCCTCTTCATCATCCTCATCATCATCCTCATCATCATCCTAATCATCATTCTCATCATCGTCCTCATCAGCATGGTCATAGTCATCCTCATCAACATCTTCATCATCATCTTCACCATTATCCTCGTCATCATCCTCATCATCATCCTGATCATCATCCTCATCATCATCATCAACATCATCCCCATCGTCAGCCTCATCATCATCAACATCGTCATCATCATCATCAACCTCATCATCATCCTCATCATCATCCACGTCATCGTCCTCATCATCGTCCTCAACATCATCCTCATCAGCTTGCTCAACATCATAATCAGCATCATCCTCATCATCATCCTTATCATCATCACCATCCTCGTTATCATACTCATCATCATCCTCATCATCATCCTCATCATCATCCTCATCATCATCCTCATCATCATCTCCATCATCATCCTCATCATCATACTAATCATCATCCTCATCATCATCCCCGTCGTCATCCTCATAGTCATCATCATCATCCTCGTCATCGTCCTCATCATCATCCTTATCGTCATCCTCGTCAACATCCACAACATCATCCTCATCATGATGCTCATCATCATTCTAATCATCATCATCCTCAGCATCCTCAACATCGTCCTCATCATCAGCCTCATCATCATCCTCATCGTCATCCTAATCATCTTCGTAATCATCTTCGTAATCATCATCCACATCATCATCCTCATCATCTTTCTCATTATCTTCTTCATCGTCATCCGGATCGTGATCCACATCATCGTCCTCATCATAATCATCATCATCATCCTCATCATCATCGACATCATCATACTCATCATCATCCTCATGATCATTCTCATCATCATCCTCATCATCATCCTCATCATTATCCTCGTCGTCATCCTCATCATCATCCCCATCATCATCCTAATCATCTTCGTAATCATCATCCACATCATCATCCTCATCATCATCCTCATCAACATCCTCATCATCATCCTCATCATGATGACCATCATCACTCTAATCATCATCCTCATCAACATCCTCCTCATGATCCTCATCATCAGCCTCATCATGATCCTCATCATCGTCCTCGTCTTCATCTTCATCATCATCCTCATCATCATCCTCATCCTCATCATCATCCTCAACATCATCCTCATCGTCATCCGCATCATCATTTTCATCATCTTCCTCGTCATGATGCTCATCATCAGCCTAATCATCGTCTTCATCAGCATCCTCATCATCATCCTCATCATCAGCCTCATCATCATCCTCATCATCATCGTCATCATCATCCTCATCATTATCCTCATCATCATCCTCATCATCATCCTCATCATCATATTCATCATCATCCTCATCATCCTCATCATCATCCACATTATCATCCTCAACATCATCCTCATCATCGTTCTCAGAATCATCCTCATCATCATACTCATGATCATCCTCATGATCATCCTCATCATCCTCATCATCATCCACATCATCATCCTCCTCATCATGATGGTCATCAACACCCTAATCATCATCATCTTCAGCATCCTCATCATCGTCCTCATCATCAGCCTCATCATTATCCTCATCGACATCCTCGTCTTGATCTTCATCGTCATCCACATCATCATCCTCATCGTCATCCTCATCATCATTTTCATCATCATCATCATCCTCATCATCATCCTCTCCATCATCCTCACCGTCATCCTCATCATCATCCTCATCATCATCCTCATTATCATCCTCATGATCATTCTCATCATCATCCTCATCATCATCCTAATCATCTTCGTAATCATCATCCCCATCAGCATCCTCATCATCATCCTCATCATCAGCCTCATCATCATCCTCATAATCATCCTCATCATCATCCTCATCATTATCCTCATCATCATCGTCATCATCATCCTCATCATCATCCTCATCGTCATCCTCATCATCCTCAACATCATACACATCATCATCCTCATGATCATCCTCATCATCGTCATCATCATCCACATCATCATCCTCATCATCATCCTCATCATCGTTCTCAGAATCATCATCATCATTATCCTGAACATCATCCTCATCATCATCCTTATGATCATCGTCATCATCATTCTCATCCTAATCCTCATCATCAACCTCGTCGACATCCTCATCGTCATCATTATCATCATCCTCATCACCACCTTCATCATCATCCTCATCATCATGCTCGTCATCATCCTCATCATCATCCGCATCATCATCCTCATCATCATCCTCATCAACATCATCTTCATCATCCTCAATATTATCATCATACTCATCCTCATCATCATCCTCATCATCATCCTCGTCAACATTTTAATCATGATCATCATCATCCTCATCATCGTACTCATCATCATCCTCATCTTCAACCTCATCAGCGTCCTCATCATCATCCTCATCATCGTTCTCATAATCATCAACATCATCATCCTCATCATCATTCTCATCATCATCGTCATCATCATCATCATCATCATCCTCATCCTCATCCTAATCATCATCCTCATCATCATCCTCATCGTCATCCTCATCATCATCCTCATCATCATGCTC